CTTTCGAATAACTCTGGTATAGCGGACAACCTTTTTGTTGCGAAGAACATGCTTGGCGTTCCGCTTGGACCGTTGCTCACGTGCATGACGACGGCCAGCACCCAAGTCAACTCCTAAATATGATGTCTGACGAGCTGCAGAGATGGAGACGCCTCGAAGCCTCAACGCCTTGACCACCGCCTTCGCGTCGCCATGATGCGAGCACATAACAACTGACTTAGAAGCAATCGACAACCGCTGAGTTCGCAATCCAGCTGCCGTGGCCGAAATACACTTGATAAGATTCGGTCGTACTTCCTCTCGCGAGCCCTTGGTGGCCTGCGACAGGTCGTCTATCCACAATCGGTGACTGCAGCGCACCTGCACGGTGCTGATGCGCTGCATAACATAGTAAGTCATGACCCTCGCCAGCCTTGTCCCAGACTTGAGCCCCTGAATGATGCTCTGGGTGGGCTCGAAAGGCTGCGAGAACGCATTCAGCTGGCTAAGCGTGCGCGGCGCCGCACACAGTGTAAGTTCGAGTAGTGGTACAGTAGGGGGGAATTCCAATCTGATAGCTGCCCGTGCCAATTTGAGCCGGTACATGGTGTCATAGAATGAGCTGATATCGACCAAACTGTGACCATACGGGATGGCAAGAGCAGAACACACTTCTTCATCAAGCACCCGCCGAAAGGCCTCTTGAAGGGCCGAGTTCCCCCGAACGGCAGCGTCCCAGCTCGGCGCGGTGGCCTCGGACCAGGATTTCACCCAGGGCTCGCGAGCCTTACTCCAGACTCTCCCGATCATTGAAATCAAACCAATGACCTGATCCCCAGAAAGCTTTTTAGGGAGGAGTTTCCCTATCACAACCATGGTCTGAATCGGCCAAACTCCGAGGTGTTCGACGGCGTTCATAATGTCGGCCAGCTCTTGCAAGCCGGCGTCGGGGAGCCGCTCGAGGTCGCACGGCGTGAGGTTGTCCACGCCCAGCCCCGTCGAGGGCCGCATTCCTCTAAGGGCCTGCTGAAGGTCGTGAACCTGGAGCTCAGGAAGGGCCTCCGAGTCCCGAATGGCATCACGAATAACCCCCAACACACCGTCCAGGAGAGCCTCAGGAGTGCTAACAGGAGGAGCCCACAACTGATGCCACTTGCGAGCTTCGAAATCAACAATATCCTTGGGGTGATACACGAGGGTGTGATTATCCCAAACCTCCCGGGCGGGGATGGGGTCCTGGCGCATGGAGCGGTGGAGGCAGCCGAGCGCCTCCGAGGTGACCGCCCACTCCCTGAACTCGCTCAGCGACTCGGACACCGCCCGTCGCTGAGCTCTACGCATAATCTTACCTGAGTCTTTAGTAAGCCTCTCGAGCAAGGGAACATCGCATTCAGCAATGGCAAGCAGCACCCGAAGCCATTCAGACCAAGCAGGTTCCAAGCCGTCGCGAACGACACGATGGATTTGGTCAGGCCTGTCTTCAAGAAGCTTCAGCCATGCCTTCTCCAACCTTTGCCGCTGCAATACTCCATTCCTCCTAGCTTTGTGACGAGCCAAGGAATTAATAATAGTATGAAGCCGAGTAATCACCCAGCAACAAGATCACGTAAAGGGGCAGCCCGAACTTTATCAGTCACCCGCACCTCCTCGACGACGAAATACGGACATTCCGACCGAGAAGGGCCCACTCGGGCCTGCTCACCATGATGTTGGTAAATTGAGCCTTCGACAGCCTGGGCCCAGGACGCGTAGAGCCCGCTTGCGATGTTGGAGCCCTTGGGGTTAGCCTGGCACACGGCGGAGTCGTACAGGCAAGGAGGGAGGGGCGCAGGAGAGAAACTGGAAGACCCGACAGAGGCACGCCGGGCCTCCCAGACTTCCAAAGGGATGGCATAAGTAATCTGACAACTAGACATGCTAGGGGGGGTCTGGGCCGAATTAGCAAGGGCTCCCACGAGGGCGCGAAGTTATTCGCGCTTCGCGCTTCGCGGTCCTCGCTGCTTCTCCCCCTCCTCCTCGTCCTCCTTTTCTCCCTTTGGGGGGGCGGCGCGAGAGCGCGAAGTTATTCGCGTTTCGCGCTTCGCGGAGCGCGAAGCGCGAAGTTGGGAGCCCTAGATTAGCTTGCTGCGCAGCCTGGTCCTGGGGTGAGGAGCCGCCGGGCCCGAGCGGCCCCGCGGCGCCAACCGAGGGCCCCAAACCCCCAGGATCAGGGCCCGAGCCCGAGGCCGAACCCGGGGCCCCAGAACCAGGCGCACCAGACTGCGGCTCTACGGGGGAGCCTCCAGCTCCAGAGTGACCCCCGGGAGCACTGTCAGGACAGAAGTTTAACTTGTGGACCCACGGGTCCTCTTCTTCAAACACATCAAAAGCAGGTTCAACATCATCAGCCGCAACCGGTGGCGCCGAGGCTCCCGACTGAGGCTGGCCAAACTTTTTACTCGGAGCAGCAGCCTCCAGAACATCACCAAACAGTTCAGCATAGCGAGCATCACGTTTAATGGCAGCTGCCTGCACAGCGAGGGTCCGCTCAGAACGTGCCTTACTTGATTTGGAGCCTATCGTGGGTTCAACACCTGGCCGAGGGACTTGGGGCAGTCGAACTGCAACACTCATGAGACGAGTAAGTAGCTGTTCTCCCTTCTGCCTGAAAGACACTCTGAGGCCGTTGTGCGTCTTCCACGGTACATCTAAGATCGGGTCCACCCTGCGAATGATGCCCATCGCGCTGGTGCTGCAGAGGAGGTAGTCGATGTGGGACCCTTTCTTGCCTGCGTCACATAAGTAATCTACTGGAGCCGTCACAATATGCGCTCCCAGCCTAGAAACGAACTTAGAGCGAAAGGGAGCAGCCGCAGAAATGTTGAAATCGCCGACGACGACCCACGGCAGCTGGAGTGCTCTAAGAAGCCCTCCGAGGCGACGGTATGGATGTATATTCTCCCCTGAGAAACCGATGCCGCTCCACCCGTAGAAACTGATGAGCACGAAGGAGAAACCGCGAATGTGAACCACCACTGGTACCATGCCATCTAATTGCTGAGAGTTGTCCTGCTTGTGGTCGGGCATGTTGGCTAGCTCAAGTGAATGAATTCTGAGGTGGCCTTTGGACAAGATCCACTCACCTCCCTCATTCGCCCTCGCCTCGTGCCCTTCAGCAACTGGACGCTGCCGAACCCCACTACGAGCAGCATTGTGAAACAACCGAAGCCCTTGACTGCGAGCTTTGATATCCCAGGATTTAGTATCGACTGCATTGACACGGGTCTCCACAAAGGCGAACCTGTCCGTCGTAGGCCTCTGCGCTGCTACCCATTGCCGAACCTTGTCACTCATGCACGTGACATTCCCAAAGTTGAGAGTATTGTAAGGCTCCCCATCGTCATCGCCAGGACTCGACTGTGAGTCAGAAGTTGATGGCCCAGCCGTCGTAGGAGACGAAGAAGAGAGGAGAGGCTCGGAGACTTCACCAGGCGCACGAAAAAGCCCTGCTGGTCCAGGAGCCGAAGAAGAAGAGGTATAATCTGGCAGGCCATGGCAAACCGGCGCCGCCTGAGCTGACCCAGCCACGGGCTCAGACGCGCTCGATCGCTCTCACGCCGCGTAGGGCGCATAGCCCTTGCCCCCCGCCTTGGCCGTCACCCCTTTGCCCTTGGCCTCTGCTGCCACGAACTTGGCGCGGGATATGCGGTCGGCCTCGGCGCGCGCAGCAGCGGCTCTGGCCTCTTGGGCCTCCGTCTCGGCCTGGCCCGTCGCCTCCGTGGTGGCAGCCTGGCCTGGCGCTTCAGGAGCTGGTCCAGCCTGTTGGGGCGGGGCTTCGTCCTTCTTCTCCTCGCTCTCCGCCGCACTCGAGTCGTCGGAGCGGCGCTTCTTCCTCATCCGCTCGGTGACTGCCTGGCGCAGGTCGGTGGCCTTCTTCAGCCACTCCTTGACCTGCCCCTCGCGGTTGGAAAGGAGATCCTTCGCCTGCTGGAGCTCGGACTGCAACTTCTCCCTGTCCCCGCGCTCCGACTCCTCGAAGTCCTCCAAGTTATCAAAAATACTTGCATCCCAAGACAAGTTGAATAGGCAAGACCCGTTCTCCTCCTTGGGACCACTGTCGGCCTCAGCAACTCCCTCGGCCTGGGCGAGACGCTTGGCGGCGGCCTGCTTGTTCAGCGTGGCCTCGGCAAGCGTCGTTGCCGCCGCGGCTTCCTTGGCCTCAGCTGCTGTAAGCTGTTGCCTGAGCCTCATGACCGACTTCACCGACTGATCGTGTTTGTGTTCAGCATCCCGCCAAGCTGAATCGGTTCGCCGTACCGCATCAGCTGCTGACTCTTCGACAACGGGTGCCTCCGACTCGCTCTCGAGTTTGGTCAGCTCGGCCTGGAGAGTGTCTCGGAGCTTCGGGTCAGACGCGGCGGCGATGGCACCCACAAGGTGGTCCTTCACCGACGGCGGACTCGCTGAACTCTGAACAACTGAACCTTTCAGAATGGATTTCCCTGGCTTGAGCAACTGGTTCCCGCCTACGTCGAAGGAGACGCTCTTGGGGGACTTGGACCTGGCACGATGAAGGCGAACCTGCTGGCCACACTTCTTGCATGCCTTGCCATTGCTCTCGAGGATGTGGTTCCATTCGCACGTTTTACAGTTGGCGCAACGGCTCCAAACCGCGGCAGACAAACCCGACATCGTGGATACTGTAGACTATGTCCTGCTTCGCCAACGCGGGAGCGAACCGAGTTCGCGACCGCGATGCCACCCAAGCACCGCGCTGAGGTGCAGGACTGGAGCTCTGGAGGTACGGTGGGTAGGTAAGTGTAAGGAAAGGTTACCCCAGTCCCCGCCCCACCTGCAAGAGCCCCAATTGCTTGAGGGAGAGGACGAGGAGGGAGGAGGGAGGGAGGAGGGAAGGGGGAGGGACGGGAGGGGAGAGGGGAGAAGGAGGAGGGACGGGGATCGGGGGGGAGGGGGAGCGTGGGCGAGGAGGGAGCGCGGCCATCCTGCTGCCCTGGCCGGCGCTGCTGGCCAGAACGCGGGAGGCGAAGTTGCGAGAGATGCGCGAGAGGTGCAAGGCCGCCGCCTTCCCGGGGGCCGGCCGCTCGGAGCTGAGACGGCACATGCACGGCAGTAGGAACGAGTATGACGGAGGAGGGGTGAGGGATGGGAGGAGGGAGGGGGGTTCAGGGATGAGGGAGGGAGGAGGGAGGAGGAGAACGGGATGGACGAGTGGCATGACTAGGAGAACGAGCAGCAGCACGAGGAGCAGGGCGAGCAGGAGGAATACGGTAATTAGGAGCAGCAGGAGGAATTTGACCGTGTGCTAGTCAAGCTGAGTTGTGAACGCAAAGCGCAGGTACGAACCCCATGGACCGAATCAAGAACACAGCACCTACGCGCACAGACCTGGGCCGAACGACGTGGGCTCCCTCAGGTCGATGAGCATCTCCTGGCAGGATCTGAGCAGGTTTGACGAGCTGATGGATGCGCACGCCCGACTGTGGAGCCCTCGTTACGGGCTGCGCATTCTGATCCAGAGCGCTTGATGGCGCCTCGCAGCAGGCGGGCCACTGGCGCCAGATCCAGTGGTCTGGTGAACAGTTCACCACCCATGAGGTAAAGGCCCACCAGTCCTTGGAGCGCGGGGACCGATCCGTGAGCTGGCGCCATGCGTCGGGGGGCGGTCCGGTTCCGCCCCCAGGATGCTACACTTGTTCGCTTTTTTCAACAAAGGGGCAGTTTCTATGTTAGCGCTCGGGCCACATGCCAGGGAAATGCATGGAACCCTATGTGAGAGGCGTTCTCATAGGCCACCCCACCAAGATGTATGGCAGCGCAATGTCAGTGGAAGGGCCGTCTCTGGCAATGTATAGCTCGCTCCAAAACACCGCCGCTCCATTGGGCGAGGTACCCCGCCCTCCCCCCATCTTCGGGTGTCTTATTCCGAAGGGCGGGGGCACAAGGGCCCGGGGTTTCTGTTATGTATTGCTCCAAGTGCGGGCGCAAGTGCCCCCGAGCGCCCGGGCACCTCCAAGGCCCGCGCAGTGACGAGAGGCCCGCTCAGGTTCGCCGTTTTCGCCGAGGCAGGCTGGTTTGGCTTGGGCCAAGGCGCGGCCCCTCCCCGCCCGTGGAGAGCCCTCCGCAGCGCCGCGCAATGGCGGAGGGACGCGGGCGGAGACGGCGGGGAAGGGCGCGCCGAGCAGCGGTCGGAGACCGACCGGGTGTGAATTCAGTTTCACAGGCAGGCGAGCGAGCCGTTTTGGCTGAACTCCAGGAGCTTCTGAATTAATGAATGAATGATTGGAGGAGCAGGAGGGGCAGGAGCCGGGTAGGAGCGGCGTCCGATGAGGATTAGCAGGAGGAGGAGGAGGCAGGGGTCGACCAACCTGGGGTTTTGGCGATTTCGTGGGCCGGTTTTGGTTCGATTTTGTTTTGCAGCAAAGGCGGGATGAAGGCAAAAGAGGGACAACGACATCACAACGAAGACGAACACGACGGTTTTGGTCAATCCATGGGAGGAGCAGGATCGGGGATACGGGGTGAGAGGAAACAAAGGAGTCGAGAAGAGGTGGTGAGCAGGAACAACTCATCGCTTGCTTCTGGTACACAGGGCTTGTTTGGTTCATCTGCGCGAGTGCCTTGTGCCCCAGGAGGAAAGATCGCAGTGCATCGTTTTAATGTTCTTCGCGATTCATCCGGGGGGTCCCTTGTTGCCATCGTGAGGAGGCAGGGATGCTCCCTTTTTGCCATCGTAGGGGGCAGGGGTGGGTGCTCCCTTACTGCCATCATGAGGGAAAGCAGGAAAGCCTCCAAACTCCAGTTCACCGCTGGGCCCGATAGTGATGACTCGTCTGCCTCCCTCTACTCCTGCCTTCCCCCCTCACGCTCCGCCCGCGCTGCGCCCGCACTCGGCCGCGCGGGCAAGAGCGTGTTTCAGGAGGTGGGGGGGCAGGCAGCAGGGAGGGGGCCGTTTTTTTCAGTCATTGTTCGTGCTTCTATATCAGGAATGCTTTCGGGTTTCTGGTCCCTTGGCATCGCTCGGACGTGTGCATTTTTCTTTCGACGAGGACAATCGAGAAGCATCCTTGATGATTATTTGGCGAAACAACCACGCACGAAACCGAAAGAAACACATGGAACGGACGTCCAAGCGATGGCGAGGTCCCTGAGTTTTCCTGGCCCCTCGTGTGTCCGCCTTCGACCGCTCGGCCCAGCGGGTGCCGATCGCCTGCCCTGCAGCCAGGGCTTGACCCTTCTCTCGCGGACAGCCGATCCGATCCGATCCCCCCCTGTGCCTCCTCCTCCTCCTCCTCCTCCTCCTCCTTCCCCTCCTCCTCCTCCTCCTCCTCCTCCTCCTCTCCTCCTCCTCCTCCTCCTCCTCCTCCTCCTCCTCCTCCTCCTCCTCCTCCTGCGCCTCCTCCTCCTCCTCCTCCTCGTCCTCCCCCTCCTCCATTTGTTTCCTCTTTCGTCTCTTGTTGTTCCTTCTCTTTTCCCTCGCCCCCCTTTCTGCGCCCTGCTTGTTTTTTGCAGCCACGTGTGTATGTGGGCGAGGATCTGCATTGCAGTGCTAGGAGGATCGGAACCCCATGGTCGTATAGTCAACCATGATAGTAAGGATGGGGCAACTTCCGAAGGCTTCCCTTGCATCCTTGCCCCTTCGGTGTTCGGCATTATTCGGCATTTTGCTGCGCTCCGCACGGAAAACGTCAACATGACGTTCCAAAGCCCTTGCATCCTTACCGCTCATCCTTACTATCCCGGTCGAGGGTATCTGATCTTATTTCGTCCCTGTTCTCTTTCTCCTCCCCACCCCCTCCCTCTCGTCCTCCGTGCCCTTTTTTTCCCCTTCTCCGCCTCCGGCCGCTCCGCCAGGCCCAGCTGCGCCAGGAGGCGCGTCCTCCTCCATGTGAGCGCGGAAGGGCCAACTGAGAAGGAGCAGGATGAGGAGCAGTATGAGCAGGTAAGGCTGCACGAGAAAGAGCACGACTAGGCCCCGACTGCCACTCAAACCCAGCTGGCCGCGATTGCCACCCAGGCCCGGCCGGCCTGGGGCTGCGTGACGGCCGCGGCTGTGCAGTCGTAGCAACCGGTTCTTCATTTTAGCACCATGTGTTTCGACCAGAGTTCGCTTCCAAGTGGTGCTTAGCAGGAGCAGGGACACGAATGCTATTCTGGTTCCTTGCGTCCGACGAATGCAAAGTCTAAGCCTATCCCCACTGTTTCCAAGGCTTTGCTCCCCGGTTCTGGCCGTCCATTCGGGGGCGCCCAGCCCCCCCCGTTTCCGAGCTTTGCCTACCGTTTCCAGGGCTGCCCCACCCCAGGTTTTGCCGGACTTCCTTCCTGTTTCCGCGTTTCCCTGCTCGCTTCTGGAGGAGGACCTCCCGGGACTTCCCCCGTGGCTCTGGCGTTTTTGCCCCCCTCCCCGTTTCCGTTTTTGTGTCCCCTTGTTCCAAGATTTTCCTCTCCCATTCTTGGGGCCCTTCTTGATGGGCTTGTTTTCCACCACCACCACCACCATAAGTTGGATGGGGGAAGGAGGAGGATGAGGAGGTGGAGGAGGAGGAGGACGAAGAGGAGGAGGAGGAGGAGGAGGAGGAGGAGGAGGAGGAGGAGGAGGAGGAGGAGGAGGACCCCCTCCCCCTCCAACTTATGGTGGTGGTGGTGGTGGAAAACAGGCCCATCACTTCTACTTCTTCCCAGGGCTTGTCACGCAGCTTCCGGCGCTTCCCCCTCCGCTCCAGCGCTTGCCCGCCCTCGCTGCCAGGTTCTTTTCCCCGCCCGCTGTGGTCTCGACAACAGACGCGGGGAGTCATCTCTCGGAGTCTTGAAATTCCAGTGAGGATTCGCACGACGTGGAGGATGAAGAGTTGTTGGGAGGAGGTGGGGAAATCCAAGGCCGGAATTTCTACATGACCACCGCGTGGAGAGTCAGTTTTCGGAGCCTCGGCAGGCGGTGGATACGGACATATTCGGGCCCCCGGGGGCCGAAATATATCCATATCCACCGCCGGCTGGGGCACATTACGTCGGCTCCCAGGCGGTGGATATGGATAAACCGCCGGCTCGCAGGGAGAGGAGGGGGAAGAGGAAACGGGGGATCATGAGAAAGAGGAATGCGTTGGTCGGCGGCGAGCAGGTTCCAGCAGGCGGTCAGGCTACCATGTGACGCGTGCGGGGCAAATTGCAGTACGGGCAGGGGAAGGCATGAGAGAAAATCTGGACTCCAGGTCCACGATCTATAGGTGCAAGGCAACAAAAACGGAGAGGTATCATCGCGGCCTGATTTCGTTTGTCCGTAGAGCGGGTGAATCGTACAACGCGTTGTTCACGCGTTCAGCCCCGTTCCCCCTTTCGCAGCCGAAGTCGGAAGACATATGCTGCGTGCGTCTACGCGCGCGTTTTTCGTCGAGGATAGCTCCCCGTGCTTCGCATGCCGCGCAGGGCCTTCTGAAAGTTGTTCGATTCGCTTTGCGGCCGCTGCGCGCGGTGCAGTTCCCGTGGGAAAGCACCCCCGGATGTTGCGTTTGCGCCTGTAGGCTGCCTCGCTTTGTTTTGTTTGCGTTTGCCGGTCGTCGTCCGAGCGGATTCGGCTACAACAGAGAGGTCAGTCCTGTCTCCGATCAGCGTCTTATCTCCCCCGGCCCCTCTGCCCGACCGGTTCCAATACCGAAGCTCGCGGATCGCGGCTCGAGGCTTCTTGCTCTCGGGGGGTCCAGTCGTCGCCGCGGCTGGGCGCAAGCCGAAATACTGGTACGCTTGGTCCCCAGGAGAGGTCTGGGGACCCTGTTCGCCGGTGAAAAATCGACGAGTGCGTTCCACTACTCGCAAAGCATGTCCTCGCAAAGGGCCTGGGTCCCCCGCGGGGAATCTACGATGAATTGCATCAAAGCAGACATGTGTTCGTTTCGGACTTTTGCGAGTGGGCACTTTGCGAGTAGTGGAACGCACGTGCCTAACAATAAAAACTTGTCAGGTCGGCACTGCTGGCCGCGGTGCGAAGGTCCCTGCGTAAAGCTTCGCCAGGACATGCGTGCCGATATGCAGCGACGTGCGGTTCTCAGCGCCTCGGCGAGCCGACGGGCCCTCAGGTTCGGAGGATGATTCAAAAATAGTCAGAAGATAGTCTGGGAACTATTTTTTGATTATTTTCGACTCTTTGGGGTACTTTTTTTTTTGAGTATCTTTATACTTTTTCGCCCAAAATCCCCCTGTAGGGGGACAGGCCCGACCGAAGGCTTGGGGGCCGGCGTCTCGGCTCGAGACGCCCCAGGGCCCCGCGGGTCCTGTTTGAACTCTGTTGGGCAGTCCGGGGGACTCCGCGGGCCCTCCAAAGGCCACCGTCGGCGATCCTCGAGGCCGCCCGAGACCGTTTTGGAAACACGTTGGGCCTTCTTCAGGAGGAAAAGAAACACACAGACACAATTAATCCTCGATTCCCCAGAAAATATGGGGAAATATGGGAAGTGGGGGGGAAGACAGAAACCCAGAAAATATGGGAAAATATGGGGGATCCTTTTATTTGTGTGTATTTATTTGTGTGTCCTGGGGCCCCTTCACTTCTTGCTTTCGAAAGGGGCGGCCCATGGCATTTTGCAGCGGATCGCGGCCTCGGATGCGGCGGCGTTGTGCTCGGTTGTGCGCGTGTTACAATAATACAACACCGAGTTGGGCAACTGATTGACATCCCATCCCGCTGGTGCGGCACGGGCAGGGCGGCGGATGTGAGGCGGAGGCAGTGCGTCGCAGGCAGGCGCGGGGGTAGCTCTTGAGATCGCTGTCGTTCGCTTCGTAGTGGTCGACATGCCTTGAGCGTTTCATCCAACGCCTTCCTGAGCTTTTCGGTTGCAGTTGTGACTGTACATCCCTGTTGTTGGGAACCAACTATGTCGCACACACACGCACGCACGCACGCACGCACGCACGCATGCGCGCACGCATGCCGGCACGCACGCACGCACGCACGCGCACGTACGCACGCACGCACGCACGCACGGTCGCACGCGCGCGCGCACGCACGCACGCACGCACGGTCGCACGTGCGCGCGCACGCACGCACGCACGCATGCACGCACGCACGCACACACGCACGCACGCACGCACGCACGCTCGCACGCACTCGAGTACACACATTCTCGCACACACGCGCACAGAAACACGCACACACACACACGGGCACACACGCGCACACGCACACACACACACACGCACACACAGGCACACACACACG